GGCACAAAGAGTTGTTAAGAATATAATTAAATTATTCAGTTCTTTTGTTTAATTAGAAAAGATTCATTATTTGTAAACTTACATGAGCTGCTTGATTCAAATGTTGTGACGAGATTGTTATTTCTAATGCTAATTCATAGATGAGAGTTTCTTTTCTCGTCATTGTTAATTTAATTTAAGTGATACAAGTCTATAAATAAAAATACACACCATAAAAATATCCGTGCATAAACCGGAAAGTACTTTACAAGGGGAGGACACTATACAGAGCGTTTTACGGTATCTTGATTTTGGCCAGCATTGATTATATATAAAAAGATACTAAAAAAGTTTTTTCTAAATAAGGGTAGGGTTTCTCATGTAGAATTCGAGTTGTGCAAGTCAAAGATCACATGATTAACTACCGACCAACCCGATATTTTTTCCAATATCACAGATGAAAAAAATGTCGCTATTCACTTCATCTGTGTACAAAGGAAACGAATTCGAGAAGCAAGTCGCTGCCAAATTTGAACGAATACAAGCAACTAATGAGGATATAACGATTTATTGTCACAGAGTAAGGTGAGATATTTATTTCACTAAGTAATTGTTTAGTTGTTATATATTTGAAGTTACGCTGCCACTAGGGTGATATGATAAGCAGAGAACTGGAAGCGCATCGTGGCCACAGTGAGAGGTTATTAGTCGGGTAATCGCGCCTGTGAACGTCCTTCTTTGTTTTATCTATCACCCAAAAGCTTGGTTGTAGATTGTGCAAAAGTTGTGGTGAATAGAATATATGATAATGACCTGTATTCGACACCAGGAATATTTATCTTGACAATAAGGATAACATTTGCTTACATACTTATAAAATCTCTTAGAATGTCCAATGGAGATGGCGGTACAGATTTCTTGGGAAATTTTAGCATACGCTGTGAGGCATTTTTTCTCATAGGACAATGCAAAGCTCTCGAAAAAAAAATCGGTTCCGATGATATTAACGAATTTCTGGGAGCGATGGCAGGTTATCCAGAGCCACTGTTTGGGATCTTTATAGCAAAATATCGTAATGGTTATTCATCTCATGCTATAAAAAAAGCAGCCTCGTCAAGATTTAATCTGCTGCTAACGAACATAGATGATATAGAGCAAGACATATTACAATACGTTTTCAAAAAAAGAAATCCCCTACACGCAACGATCGCGCAACAAACCACAACGATTGCGGAACAAAGCAGAAAGTTAGAAAACCAAGTAAAAATGATGAGAGAACTGAAAAATAATCAATCTAGGATGGAAGAGAATATGACTAAAAACCATCAAGTCGTATTTTTTTTATTTACGATTATTATACTAATATTAATAACAATACTTATTTTAGTATATATAAAATAAATAAAATCCTCGTCTATCATCATACAAACAATGTATGTTCAGACCAAAAAAAGAGCATTGTTCTTGTTCATGACCTAGTGTAAAAGCAAAACGAACCAACCAGTTTCCAGATGATCCTAAAAGAGAAGTCCCTACATATAAAAGGTAGTGGATTAGAATGCAATCTGGATCTAATTCGATCCGAACCACATGATTTTCATAAATGTAGCAAGGCAGATTAATGGGATTATGAGGATGAATTAGTGACATACGAACAGAGTTTATCGTTATGTATTATTTTCATAATGATATAAGAAATAATCAATGTTGTTAGATTGACACGTGAGATGATCTAAAAAATATTGGGTTGATCGGTAGTTAATCATGTGATTTTGAACTTGCACAACTTGAATTCTATTTTATCATACATAAAACTAAATCTTAATTATACGAGAAACCCTATTCTTAACGCGAATTTTAAAGCAGTGTAATAATCCAATAAAGTCACGAGATTGAAGCATTAATTATAAGTAATCCATAATTGTAAATCCTAAAAATAAGCAATCTCTCTTATTAAGTCTAGTTATAAAAAAAATCATATTTTCTAAAAATAAGTAACCCTCCTTTTTGATCTCTGAAATCTTGCAAAAATTGGTTGCTTATTTTTGGAAATTTATAGTAATCAAATCTCTTTATAATTATTATTCTTAAAAAAGTAAAATTGGATAACTAGAGAAAATATAATTATAAAAAGATTTTTTATTATATTTATAATATATAAATGGAAAAGCAAAATAAAATAACTATAAAAAATATGATTAGAAACAAATATAACTATAAAAATATTTGATTATATCAAAGATTTTAAAAAGTTAAGAAAAAAATATGAAAAATATAATAAAAATGAAATTTAATTATTTTCTTTTTTTATTTAAAAAACAAATTATTTAATTTTTCTTTAAGAATTTGAAAAGTTTTTATATTCAAATTTTATTAAAAATTATGTCAAATAATTTTTAAATTAGATATATAGTCAAATCTCTTTATAGTTATATCTGTTTATAATCACATATCTTTATAATCATATTGTTTTGCTTTTTTATTTATATATAAATATAATAAAAAAACTTCTCTATAGTCATATTCTCTTTATAGTCACCAAATTTTGCTTTCTCAAGAATAGAAATTTGATTGTATTTCTTAATATATTGTTATCATTTTATATAAATTATTGTCTTATTACAAAAAAATATGTAATTAATATATAATATTAAATTAGGTAAAAGAATTTACATATTAAATAATATTAAAATAAAAGAGAATACTAAGTTTACTAAAGATAAATAATGTATATTCATTTTGTAATTAGCTAGAATGAGATCAGAAATATTTAAAGGTAATTGTATTCTTAAAGTTCAGTTTATAAACAAGTTGAATATCAATATTTTATTATTTTTAATAATATAATGATGACTTTGCAATAGTGATAAAAGATCAAATACAAGAGTTATAACTTTATAGTTAAAATGAGAGATTATAAATCAAATATAATAATAATAACTTCATAGTTAAGATAAGAAATTATATTAAAAATTATCTAAGAATTATTAAAAAAATAAAAACAAAATTATTAACTTATTTAAAGAACTTTTTTTTTAGCTAAGATATATGTGAAATTTATAAATTATTTGAAGTAATTACTTAAAGTAATCATTCAGAATAATTGCTTGAAATAATTATTTAAAATAATTATTTGAAGTGTTCATTTAAAATAATTACTTGAAATAATTACTTGAAGTGATTACTTGAAATAATTACTTGGAATGATTATTATCTGGAATAATTATTTGCAATGATTATTTATAATAATTATCTTCATAAACTATCAAATTACAACAGATCTCTAGAAGTTAAATATTTTATTCTGTAAAATAATATAAAAATAAAAATAAAAATAAAATAAAAAAAATAAAATAATTAAATTAAAATATTATTTAAGTCTATTATTTTAGAATTTATGACAAGCTAATTAAATAACTTAACAATTTTTTCTTTGAGTTTATCACTATTTTATTTACTTAATCTTTCAATTAAATTTGATTTAAAATATTATTATATATTTTTATTGAATACTTATTTATTATTTATTTATGTATTATATATTAATAGAGATATTAAACTTTTAATATTTTAAACTAATAATTGTGACAGATTAAAACGAAACCAGATTAAAATGAAACCAGATTATAATAAAATCAAATCAAAATAAAATTTGGATCTATTTTTATGGAATAAAAATTTCAGAGAAGGGTTAGGGTTAGGTTAGAGCATAGGGTATAGCATTAAAATCTGTAGTAAATTGACCTATGATTATTTAAATATCACACTCTGTTTCGTTTTAATCTGGTTTCATTTTAATCCGCCACAATAATTATTAGAAATTTTAATTATTAGAATTTTGATCATTTGAATTATTAATCTTTAGAGATATTGAACTTTTAATATTTTAAACTATTAATATTTTGAATTATAAAGATTTTTATAATAATTAATTTTTTATATAAATAATACTTCACTTGATAACAAATTAGCAAGTTTCAAGTTTAAAAAGTTAATAACAAATTCAATCATTAATTATCTTATAATTATTCTTTAATTTTTAATATAGTTTTGATTATAAACTTGTAATAATCTAGCAATATTGTTATTCTTGTATTATATATTTGTATAGTTTATATACAAAATATTAACTGAGATAGCAATAATAAAAGTATAATAATAAAGAAACTTTGTTAATAAAACTATTTTGAACTTATCATAATTATAATATATAACCTATTTAATAATAAATTTAACTTAATTCATTAACTTTTCTTATAACTGTAAGAAGAGATTTATTTAAAGATCTTTTGCTATAGAAATACTATTAAAAGAACTAGAATAATAGCTGATATCTTTTATCAGAATTTTTATTATATTTCTTTTTTATGAATTATATCTATACCTTCTTTGAAATAATTATTAATATATACTTATATTTATGTCAATAATTCTCTTATCTATTACTTTAAAACAATATGATATAATTACAGGATATTCAACAATTGACTACTATTATTCAATAATTTAGTTAGTTAATAACTAACTAATATTTCAAGTTAATAAAATTTGCAAAATCAATATAATCAATCAAGAAAAAACTTTCAAAATAATTATTAACAACAAAAATTACAACAAAATAGATAGTATCAACAGTCAACTAATCTAGTATGTTATATTTATAAATAACCAAATCATATTAAAAGAGACATCGTTATAATCAGACTCTTGATGAATGTTATTATAATATAGATATTCAATCAATATCTAATGATAATAATTTTATAATTACTTAATCTTATCATAATTAATATACTTTAGAATTATCACACAGTATATTTTTTCTATTTATTAGATAGACTCTTATTATTACTAATAGATATTATATTTACTTAGTGTGGAATATTCCTATAGTAATATAGTATTAATATTCTATAGCAGCTTGATAGTTATTTAATAGTGCACAATAAATATAAGTAATTAATATAAAGTTATTATTTATTATTTTAAACTCAATTAATATACAAATTTTATTAATAATAAATAATAAACAGTTTATTAACTAATTGAATTTTTGTAGTAATCAATTGATATCTTTTTCAAAGCTCTAATTATATTTTATTTATAATAAATATTTTTTACTAATTAATATTATATTTAATTTAATTATAATAAAGATAATAAATGTAATAAATATAATATAAATGATAGATAGAGTATTTTAGCTAAATTTAATAAATATAATAATAAAATGTTAGAAATATTTGAAATATTTTTTAAAGCATTAAGAAATTATGAAATTTTATTTATAATAATATGCTAAAGCAATTATATAAGAAACAAGAATATTTTGTTAAAGAAATATAAAAAGAAGTTTGCACTTGATTACACAGTAAAAGTTAATATAACAGATTATCTAGCTCTGATCATTTGGTTCAGTATATTAATAAGTTTGTTTAATTAAAAGTATTTGTTATACTGAACTTATTATATAAATTTACTATACTGATTATAAATTAATTAATTTATTTATTTATTAGAGTACAATAACAAAATCTGAAGTAAAAATTGATTAATACTACTTTTTTTTAATTATACTCTTAATAATAATCTTTTTTTCTAATTTAATCAAATTATTATAAAAATTCATATTAACATTTCAATTAGATTGCTTAATAAATATAATAAGAATTTTAGTACTATTCAAAGTTTTATCAATAGAAATTTTTTTTTCATATTCATTTTCATTATTAGATTCATTTTCTAATTCTTTTCCAAGTATTATATTAATAATTTTCTTTATATTAGTCTCTTTATGTTCAATATTATTATCAATATATATAAATTCATATGCAAAAAGTAGATTTATAATGGATAGCTGTTGAATTAGATGATTTAATTTATATTTTAACTATTGAAATTCAGATTTTCAAAGATTAATGATATCAATTTCTTCTTCTTTATCAAAAGTTGATAAATCATATTGTCACTATTTGATAGTTTGGATCACATGTAAAATATTATGTAATATAATTTTGAGCTACAAATTGATATAAAATAATTAATATTTAGAATGAATATTTAAGAAGTTATATGAATAATTTTAATTATTATAATTTTAATTTATTTTAGTTTTAGTATAATAAATATTTATTTTGCTATAGTAATTATAAACTGTAATTATAAGTAAAGTTATAGCTAGAAATAAGAGCTACAAATTGATATAAGATAGTAATTATTAATAATAATTATTCAGAAAGTTATATCACATTTACAATCAAATTTAATAAATATAAAAATAATTAACACTATGTAAACTTTTAATTCTTACTAAATACCATAAATTATGCTTATAAGTAAAGTTGTAGCTTATATTTAAAGTTACAAATCAGTATATAATATTATATATTGATCTTTAATTGAGCTCGAACCAGACTCGAACTCATATAATGATTTAGTTCAAATTTAGTTTGAACTTCAAATCTTTCTTGAACTCAAGCCAAAGTTTGGTTCAAGTTCAGTTCAAATTTTGAACTGAACTTGAATTCAGATAAAAGTCTGATTTGGTTAAGTTTATAGGAACACTATTTAAACAAATGTAATTTAATATAAAATAACAAGAATTTTAATATTAATTTGAAAAGTAATAAAAATATAAAAGTTAATTAATA